TGGCCAAGTGTGATTGGACACACAAGGAATTTGTCTTGGTGCAAATGCTCTCAGTGTACATAAAAGAAAAGATACATTCGTCAGAGTCGAGAATCATAAGGTACAACACTTAATGATAGTCATAGGTAATTATCTGTTGAAGTCTGTGTCTGTCTTGTTTGGTTGCAGAGCCAAACCAGACCATTATAGAGGTGCAGATGACAGGCTTAATAATTCCTCTGTAGAACTGAATCAGCAGCTCTTTGGGCAGTTTGAGCTTTCTGAGTTGGCACAGAAAGACATAGTTGTAAAGAAAATGATGAAAAATTGCACATAGTACAGAGTTTTTAAATTCTGGAGGTAGGCTTTGACTTATATTACTTTAACAATGAAGCTGGATTAAAGCCAAAGCTGAATAAAAAGATTTAACACTAGGATATTTCTTTACAATTTGAGAAATCATTTAAATTGGAAAAGCATTATGGTTAAGGTTTCTTTTTCAACATTGAGTAGATATGTAATTAAATTACAGCTGTGTAAAAAATGATTTGCTTTAAGGAAGAAGCTTAATCTATTATGTATTTTAAATGTATGTAAAGCAAAAGAAAAAGAAATTCATAAACTATTTGAGAATGGGGGAGAAAAAAGAAAGTAAATTAAAACTAGAAAACCAGAAGAAAAAGAACCTAAAAACAAGTAAGCAAGATTAAAAGGCTCGTACAAATGCATTAAAAATGTATAGCTAAATTATATCTAATTATACTTCTAAAAGGGGAAAAAAAGAATTAAAAAAATATCACATGGGGAAAATGTGTTGTTTCATATAACCTGGCAATACCTTTTGAGATGTTTCTTTCAGACATGACAGATGTCTGAAAGAAAAGCAAATAAAAACTTCAGAAAAATTAGAGAAAGGGACTTGTGTAAAACGTCAAGCTATTCAGATGATTAAATTCATTGTTGTACCCTGTGCTCTGGACAGATTTCATGATCATTTGTTGTTACAAGCCTTGGTGTAAAAATGTTTTACTAGTCTGATCATACGAGTCAACAATCCTATACTAATCCAGCTTTGTAATCTTGTTACACTCCTTTAACACGCTTCATTTAACTCATGGCTTTGCATTTTAATAAAATATGAATAACATTGTGGAGATCCATTCGTTAGCAGCATATAAAGGCTGATCCTAAAAGCTAAGCTGATCCAGGATGGGAGGAAACCAGGATGTCCTGTGGATGAGACTGAAAAATTGAAGAAACGTCTCAAAAGGTATTGCTAAGAATCAGGGGTGGGCTTCAAAAATTTCAGCAACGGGTTCTCTGCCCGGTTGCTGGGGGGGGAGCGTGGCCCTGGTAGGTGTGGCCTAGTCGGCCTCCTGCATCATGGCGGTGTGTGTGTTTTTGGCCCCGGGCTCCGGAGGCTTTCCTTGAGCCTCCGGGAGGGTGAAAATGGCCTTGTTAGGAATATAAGTCACCTAACAGGTATTTGGGTTAGAAATATATAAACCAGGATAAACATTTTAGTACTATATCTTTAAGAGATTGCAAAAACTGCAATTGGGTGTGGTTTTTCAAACGGCCATAAGATGGAGCCAGAAACCTGGGTTTAGTCTTAGTCTCAGAAGAGAGTGTGTCTGAGTGAGTATCACTGTTTCCTTCTGTTGGAAAGTATTGCTGTTGTTCCATTTCTTCTAATTGACTGATATTACTGGATCTAATGTAAGTCTGATACTGAACTGTTTTTGACACTGGAAT